AATGTAAAAAGAAAACTAGACAATTCTGTAGTGATAAATATCCTGGTCTTAGGTTAGACATAGAGTAGATAATTCAATGTTTTTACTCTTGTAGAGTTGTAGTGATACAAGTAAACCAAACACAACAAAAATCACATYAAACTATTTATTCATCATTTCTTAGTTTTCTACAATTCCTTACATATTCTTTTGTAAAAATATAAGCTTATATAAAATGTACATTTTTATAATTTTGTATGGTAGTTTTTGACATTTTGTAGGTGATAGGATTGTTTCAGTGAAAAGCTGAAGAGAGGACATGAAAAACTTTCTTATTAAGATTTTTTCTCTAGGGTTTAGAAAGCTTGAATAAAAATCTTAATGTAATTTTAATACATTGTACATAGTTGTAGAATAATGTAGTTCAATGATATAGTAAAAATATAATATTTTTCCTAGTTTGGTATTTCCTAGCTTCAATAAAATTGAACATGGATTTCATGTCTTATTCTTCTTTTATTGGACTAAAACAACCAAAGTTTGGTTGAATATGACAGAAACATTTCATCTTTATTGTTGCTCTTTTATGTTTAATTGAAAATTTGGTATTTGAAATTGATTCTGTTTTTTCTTTTTTGAATAAAATCGAAAAAAAGTTGATATTGTCACAAAGGTGCATTGTGAAGTCAGTTAGCTTGAAGCAAAAGTTGAAATCTTATCCGATGTAGATTTTCCTTTCAAAACTATTGAAAAACGGTATATATGTTCTATTCCGTTAATTCCGTGTTCAATTAGCAATGACTAATTTATGTTCAACGGTGAAATTTAACCGAAGTGAAAATTAAACTGTTTTTCAGACTTTCAGTTTCAGAAAATAGCAAATTTTTCAAAAACGCTTGAATACAGAATAAAAGAATTACAAGATTCTAAGGATTAGTTAATTGTCAACAAACTACATGTAAATATGGTGATATTTAGTGGTAGTTTGATACCAAACCTTGGTTATCTGGTCTTACATGCTAACCTTGACAGTCAACCTAGAAAGAATAGATGAAAAGCAACCATCATTAAAACGATGTTTTCAATACGGACTAACCTATAAGACATCAAAATCACTTACCGTTTGTCAAGGTATTTTTGTAGCATGATATCTTCACAATTTAAGTGTAAGTTGAGCATAAAATATCCAACAAAACGACAAGCAAACCAAGAGAACTGTGACGACCTCAAACTCACAAACCAAACTGACGCTCGCGCACGAGTCAAACAACAGATAAAGGCGGGAAAATAATACTCGATGCTGATTGGACAAATGTTTCCCTAAACCTGACAAGTCACGTGATATGGGATTGAAAGATTACTCGTCGCTGATTGGATGAAATTAAAAACACGTATGACCGGTTATGTTGCACAGGAAGCCCAAACAATTAATTTGAATCTATTGTTATTAGTTGAGAAATTAATTTTATTTAGAATTTCATTAGAGATAAGAAGTAATATATAAAGTAATAGAAAATATAAAAATGCATCAAACGTTTTAGTTTGAATGTTTTAGGCGTTTTTTCTCAGAAGTGACTGACTATTTAGATACCTGAGAATGCAGTTACACTTGGATTTTTGGCTTTGAATCTATCATGAGAAATCTTTGCTGTGAACCCATTTTAAGTCCTCCAATTACGCTGCTGCAGCAGCTACACTTAAATTACATATAAATATTACATCAATTGTCAATCATGACATAAGTGTAGAGGTCGTTCTTGATGTCCTGTGGCTTCTTAAACTATTTTTATGGTTCAAAGAATGGACAGTCTGCATCGATTGGACGAATTTCACGAATGCTTGAGAAAACAATGGACAAACAACAGATGACCTTCCAAACAATAGAAGTGAAGTACTAACAAAATCAGCTAATCAAACGTTATACGAACATATAAAACTGTCAAAAAAGTTCTCCAGTTACGCTGCTGCAGCAGCTACAGTTAAATTACATATAAACATTACATCACTTGTCAATCATGACATAAGTGTAGAGGTCGTTCTTAGAATGAACAGTCTGCATCGATTGGACGAATTTCACGAATGGTTGAGAAAACAATGGACAAACAACAGATGACCTTCCAAACAATGAAACAAAACCTAATCTAACAATGGGTAGTTCCAGAAAATATCCGTACCATACGACGGTTATTTAGATAATGAATTTTGTTATGTAGAGATTTTTGATGTTTGAAAACCCGAAAATGCTTCGTTYGGTTGAATTGAGTCGTTTCAACTCAACCTAACCATTTTTTTTGCGATGTGGTTTCAAAGCACATTTTTAGAAGTTAACCTATGAATAATAAACTTGTTCAAAATATGTCTATTTCTTGTACTTAGAGATAATAAAGCTTTGTTTTTGTAATAAGCTTTTCATTGTTTTACTATCAAAATGGAAAGTCAATTTAAATATAGCTAATATAGTCGTTTGAAACTAGAAAACCTCGAAAACATTTCATATTGTTTTGTTTTTTGTTAATTTTGCTTCTTGTCTGTATGTTTCCTTTCCTTTTCTTAAAGAAAATTGAATTTTAAAGCTTTTATTTATCCTTGACATTTTTTTCCGCCTCGAGCTTCGAGAAACTCACGATTATTACATGGGCTTCCTGTGGAAGCACATGTTTTGTTCTACCTTCTGTTCAATCTATCAACGTCGCGTATAGTCCCCCATGATGCTTTACGAACTTAAAAATGGTCACGTGGCCTGATAACACAGGAGGCCCAAAGTCATTTAAAACAAAATGGCTGACAGAAGGTTGAGACGGCGGCAAAAAGTTGTCTCGTTTTAAATGGGTCTAAAATGTAGCTAAAATACTCTAACGAGCTGAAAATCTTACAAAATCAACTGACTAACATCCAAATGACATGGAATAAGGTATATAATTCAAGGTTGTCGGATGATTCGTGCAGAAATGACTGGGCATTTTCTACCGCCG